ATGATGCAATAAAAATGGAGTGTTTTGATTGGTCAATTTGTGACGCGACGGATGACGCGCGCGTGACGTGCTCAGTGGGAATTCACCCTAAGTTCTGTTGCATTGGAATAACGAATAGTATCATTGGTCTAGTTTCCACCGAAGTCTTCAATTCGATTCTATTTCTGTATGAATCAAATTTAACATGCTGTTTTCATTGGAAGTAAAGTAGAAGTGAGAAAGATTGACATTTCAGTAGAATCAATAACGTTTGTTTGTCGAATATGAACAAATTAACCTCTGAAGAATACATATATAAGTTACACTTATAGTTATGTAAAAAAATGAGTTTTGAAATAATTTTGTTGAATCATTAATTATACGGAACGATTACTGATATATAATGAACGATTACTATTGTTATGAAAGTAAAATTGGTATTATCTACTTTCAATTCGTTTCCATCAATTAAATCTTGTATCAGTTCGCTGCCATTCCGATAAGATTTGTGGATCGAAGCGGAATTGAAATGAGCACAATTTATCACGTTTCCATCGACTTAAATCTGGTTCTACGTCGTATTAGGAACATTCGTATACTTGACCCGAAAAGTATGCCAGTTCGAAGAATTATTATTTTAAATTGTTTATATTTCATATGAAGAGTTTTGAAATGCAATTGAAAAAGTTTGTGAGTTATTCAGTTAATTGTAATTAATTAATTATTTTTATAGTATGTATTTAATCCGAGAAATTAATCGAAGATAAATTGAACAATGTTCTTGTATGGAATTGTTTGTATTTTGTATAAAGAGTTATGAAGTATCATTAAAAAGTTTTGTGAATTATTCAGATAATTGTAATTAAATATTTAAGAGTCAGCAGGAGCAATAAGCCAACTCATTTACACTTCATTTGTGCAGATACAAATCTGTATTCTATCATATTTTATTTCATAGTAATATTTTCTCGAAGTAATATTTTGCCACGAGTCTTTTTTTTTATCCATGTTTTAGTCGAAGTCGTGACTGTTATAAATAATATAATAAATAAGATTATCTATCACTATATTGTACTATAATGCAGTATCGATTATTCTTCTATTCTTCGATTATGATTGGTCAATTTCTTATGGCTTAAGACTTAATTACTTATTGTAGACCGGGACTGACGAAATTTTGGAAGTTGCCGCGATACTGCATTATAGTGCAGTATAATGTGCAAATAATCTTAAGCCAGCGGCACATGATGCTTTTTTCCTGCTGGTTTACTAGCTGGATTTGCATGCTTAGTGAGCTCTTATCTTTGATTGATATATTCTTTTAGATTTAAAAAAATATACCAATCAAAGACAAGAGTTCAGAAAACACACGAATCTAGCAAGCAAACCAGCAGGAAAAAAGCATTGTGTGCCGCTGGCTTTATTTATTATATTATTTATAATAGATTTCGCGACTTCGTGAAACATGAATCAAAAAAAGATTAGTGGCAAAATATTACCCCGAGAAAATATTACTATGAAATAAAATATAATAAAATACAGATTTGTATCTGCACCACATAAATGTGATGTAAATGAGTTGGCTTGTCGTTCCTGACTCTTAAATGTTTAATATAATTATCTGAATAACTCACAAAACTTTTTAATGACACTTCATAACTCTTTATACAAAATACAAATAATTCCATACAAAAACATTGTTTAATTTATTTTCGATTAAGGCTCGGCAGGAGAGACTATGGAAATCTCTATCGAAGATAAATTCCTTTTCACCCATATTACGGCCAAAATACTGCGAGAAAAGCTATATAATTATGATATTTATAATCAATATCAAATATTTGTCTGACGAAAGCTACAGAGCGATTTTTGTAAGAAAATGTGTGAAAATAAATAATTCATTTATGCGTAAATAGATTTGCACTATAGGACAATAAGCAAATATTTTCATCTATTATAAATTTTTTTTAGAGCCAAATTGCAAAATCGGCTCTGTAGCAAGAGTCATAATTTTATAAAAAATACGTAGAAAAAAAATCATGGCAGAATATTGCTTCTATGAGATGATATATGGGTGTACTCAAATATATATCTACACTGTAAATAAGGAATAGATAGTACATTTATTTTAATTTAAGAGCTATTTTTATTTAAGAGCTAAATTGCAAAATTGGCTCTGTAGGTAGTTTTGTAAAAGAAATTATCTTAATAAAGTTTCACGAAACATCGTTTCTATAAAATAAAATATAATTGAGTACAGATACGTATCTGCACTGTAAATAAAGAGTAGATAATCATTTTAGATCAAGTCGAAGTTATCCGTCATTCCTGCCGACTCTTAACTCCTCGGGCTAAGTACATGATTTAAAAATGATTAATTAATTAAAATTAACCGAATGACTCACAAACTTTTCAATTGTACTTCAAAACTCTTCATACGAAATACAAATGATTTAAAATAATAATTCTTTAAACCGATATACTTCTCGGGTCAAGTACATACGAATATTAGGAGCGAATTAAGACATCGGTGTAAATTAGATCATTTATGTCATTTCGGGAAGGGTGACACCGTTTGACCACGTCCTGATTAACCATTAGTCATTCATAACACTTAAACAGTGGAAAAATTCTAGGCACTGATCCCTGTGAGTGGCTAGTGGTCAATCGGGACGTAGTCACCTTTTCGGGAATAGAAAACGCTATAGTGTACACTTCTTGCACTAGTTCAGGAAGTTCAGAAATAAAAAACAAACCTCTGGATCAAGCAGTGCAGTGAACTACTGTACTGAATATCGCTCGAAAAGAACAGGTCGAAAAGAATAGGTAGATGTCATTTCCTTCTAAAAGAACGTTTCAGTGTACACTTCTTAAATTAGTGTAGTCAGTGTAGAGAAAAAGAATAAACCTAATAATGGATTCGGCGGAACGACGGCGTATTGAAGATAGCGGAACATCCGCAATTGGTCAGATTTTTGATACGCGCGATATGCTCCATGGGACTGCATCCTTAATCCCGGTCTACAATAAATGATTTAAGTCTTAAGCATAAGAGATGGACGAATCATAGTCGAAGAATATGAGAATAATCGACTATGATAGTCAATTCTTATGGCTTAAGGCTTAAGACTGCACACAAGATTCGACAAAGCGGTAAAGCGGCAACTCAATAGCCAATCACCGTCTTGTTTTCTGATATATAACTTCGTTACATACAGAAAACTAGAGACACTACAATCAGAGACTAGCCACAACTCTGATCCGCCAATCAGAGATTCTGATCCGTCATGTTTGTCTAAATCCAAGAGTGAAAGAAATATATACCATCTCACTCTAACCAATAGCGATATTTTTTATTTTGCATGTTCATTGATTTAAGTGTATTGTGCATGTGTATTAAATACATGAAAAGCGTGATAATATATTATTAAATAATAGAGATATTAAAATTGCAAAATATAATCATAAATTAATTAATTGTGATAAATCAATATAAAAAATGAGTAGATGTTTATTTTTTTACTTAAATTTTATTTTATATTATAATAAAGTTTGTTTATAATTAACAAATATGTATAATAATCCTTTCTAAAAAAAGCATGACATTGATACTTGTATCTCTCGAAATTTCCTCGAAGTTTATTGTTGACATTTTTCTGCGATGGGTTCTCTTGCTGCGTTAACTTTGTAAATATCTGTCATTGTATTGATTTCACAAAGAATTCTTTTGGCAATTGTGTATCAAAAAGTTAAAAATATTATAGTGTAACAGTAGTGTAATAGTATATTAATTTTTGATCTTGTTGAAAAAGATAAACAAAAAAAATAAATAAATTTAAAATCGTTAAAATTAAAGGATATATATTAATAAATTAGTAATATAATTATGTAAAATAAAGTTTTATAAATGTACACATTTTATTACCTTTAAAACGCTTATGTTTTTAAATTATAATATTACAATTTAAAATTAATGTAGTTAATATATTTAAAAATAAGTGGGAATAATCAAAAGATAGCGGACCAATCAAAAGTTGCTTTTTCGTGACCAGTTTCTGATTATAGTGTCTCTATAGAAAACAAGACGATGATTGACTACCGCGTTGCCGTTTTACCGTTTTGCCGCATCCTGTGTGCAACCAGTCTTAATTATCTATTGTAGACCGGCACTAAGCGCACGGCATAATAGCACATATCTACTTACATCAGCCGATGCTTAAAAATTTTCCAATGAATTACCTATCAGAAAATTTTATATTTAATTGGCCAATCAACGTTGTGTGCTATCGGATGTGCTGTCGCGTTTACTTCTATATTTGATTTGTACAATTCTTTTATATCTTTAAAAATATATCAATCAGATGCAAAAGTTTACTAAAGCTAGCGGCACACGATGCTTCTTTTCCTGCTAGTTTGCATGCTTGCTGAGCTCTTGTCTTCGATTGATATATTCTTTCAAATCTAAAAAAATATACCAATCGAAAATAAAAGTTCAGCGCAACATACAAATTCAGCTAGCAAACCAGCAGGAAAAAAAGCATCGTGTGCCGCTGGTTTCAAAATTTGAAATTTGGTTTATAAAAATTTTGGAAATCGACAAGATATTAGAACATAGTCGGTATAAAAATAGTATTAAGTAAAATTCCAAGATTTTTTTTCATTTTTAAAAATTCTGATCATGAAAATAAAAATTTTGAAAATTGCAGTGTATCAAGAAAAAATAATAAATAAGAAATTGTTGATTTATGAATTTTCAATTTATCTTAAAAACATATCTCAGACATAGACCACTTGGGAAATTAATCAAATTTGGGAATATTATATCGATTGTGAGATGATTTCTTGAAAAATCTATGAAAAGAAAAAATGCTTTCTTAGATATTTTTTCATGTTATTTAGAGATATTTGTTAAACCACTGTTTATCAACTGGTGATATCCATTTATGGCAACCGAGCATATTATTTTGAATCATGTATTTCCAATTCCAAAGATGCTGGTTGTTTTCTTCTAACCATTTCTGTTTAGCTGCATCTTTATCCATAATTTCTTGACTGATAGCTTTGGCTTTGAACGGTAGTTGATTTGCAACTTGAGTTAATATTTTTTCTACCTATTAACAAAAAAGAATATTATGCCAGTATATCAGTATGTTCCTATTTATTATTGAAGACTATAAATTATTTCATAAAATATAAATTATTTTAAAAATTCTTAGATAGTATATTAAGATACCTCAAAAAATTCGCAATGGCCACCAATTTCTATAATAACTCGTCCTGCTTTAACAGGAGTGACATAATGATCAATAGAACCTTTACCTCCACCCATACGATGTCCTAACCCCTGAATTACAAAGTATAATTATTATAGTGTGAAAGCAAAATCTCTTTTCAGTATTTCACATTATATGTCATCTGTCAAACCCTTTTTGTAAGTGGTTGCCATGGTGGATCTACACGCCAAATTGCAAACATCCTTGATTGATCAAGTTTTCTACCAATTGTCAAACGTATCATCTCAAAATGACCATACTTTAATCTACCTCCGCATATAGCCTGTAATTAAAAAAATAAGACATATCATCATGACAGTTTTTATTAATATATATATATAAAATTATAATTACATAGACTTACAATAATACCAAATTGCCTGTACATAAGGAAATTCTGTATCTCTTCTGGACCTCGCATATATCTTAGTCGTTTTTGCATTTTAGGAGGGCGCATTCCTGCTGGAAACTGTGGGACTTTGTCCACTACTTTGAGTCTTGATCGCTCCGGATATTCAATATCTGATGATCACGAGAAATTAGTATCTTCAATGTTTCAGTAATAATATTTATAATCATACATATACTTACTGCCAAATTTTATTGGCGAAGGAAAAATCTTCAAACCAGCTACTGGTGTTATTAATATAGGTTGCCATGCTGTAAAAATATCACGATATGAGAAATAAGGAAAACTCTAAAAAGATTTGTAGCATTAATGTAACTTGTCTTCTCAAGAAATATTATATTAAGAACACACTTACTAGAAAGTAAACTACGTGCTACGTTCTTGATTGCTTGCATTATTTCTAGGTTAGGAAAATGTAGCCTTTGATCGACACTGTTTACTGTATGAACAACTAAATAATTCTACGTGAAGAAATAAGTAATATCTTTTATTTATCTTATAAGACACGTATGACAAAATTTGCGAGCAAAGTAAATTTCAATATT